AGTTATGTCCATCGGGAGCCTCACATCTAATGCAAGCCAATGGACCTGCACAGACATAACGTCAGCGGGTCTTAGAGCCCCGGAGGGAGAAGAGACTGCGGGGACCGGTCTAGCAGCCATGCACGGCAAAGGATCAGGGGAGTACATCTATTTCATCTGATCCCCTGGGGGAAAAGGGAGCAGTTAACCCTTCCAATGCAGGAGGTAGCCCCACTGCCAGGGTAACATTTTACATTCCTGGAGTTCCTCTTTAATTGCTATGAACATTTCAGAGGTCTCCATGATGAGCTGTGTGGGATTTTAATGTATTTAATGAGTAAGAATTGTTTTACACCAGCGGCGAAGCTGATTTGTTTGGGATTATGATGGTCTGTCCATAGAACAGGCCTACTGTGTCAAATGCTGAGCCTGATCCATACTCATACCCTCCTCCTGTGCTGGAATGACAGGATGGCCGGCACTGAGACTCTCTCACACAGAGCTGCCCAGAGTATGCATGTCCTATATACAGGTGACCTGGGCTGCATTGGTGACCTCTCCTTACCAAGAGCTGCCCAGGCTCCCCCTCAGCGGTCTCTCCGTACAACCCCCTTATAGTGTCCCCCTCCTCCCCAGCTCTCACCTCAGAATCTTCCCCGGCCTCCTGGGGTCAGTGGCGCTGTTCCCCGTCATCTCTCCCAGCTCCTGATCCAAATCTCCCCAGCTGTTCCCACCAGTTCCGGCGGCAGAAGAGGGCGTGGCCGGAAGCTAGCCTGACGTCGAAACCCGGAAGTGCATACTGATGACGTCACGTGGTTTTGTGTACACTGGTGGCCGGGGGTCACGTGGTTGGTCTGGGTTTGAGTGTTGTAGTCCCTCATAGAACTCAGTGTGGTGAAGACTACGACCCCACTCAGGGCAGGTGAGGAGACTGTAGCTCTGCAGGGGGTCAGGGTGAGGAGGCTGGACCTCTGCAGGAGGTGAGGAGGCTGGACCTCTGCAGGAGGTGAGGAGGCTGGACCTCTGCAGAAGGTGTTCTGTAGTATTGTCCTGCGGTGACAACACTGTTATTCCATAAATACAGAAGGGTGGGTGTTTTCTGGCTCGAGGACCCTGAAGAGTTGAATTCTAGGTGCTTTCTTTAGTAATACCTTATTCTTTACTCATCTTATAATACAACTTATCAGACAATGTTCTACAGACTTCTGTATTATTTCCTGTAGATTGGTTAGTTATTTCTGTATTCTGTTATCACAGGTTATCATGTCCTATCCGGCCCCCAAACTGAAACAACCAGAACTTCCCAAACACCTCCAACGCAGACTGCCCTGCAACCAGGGAGCCATCAGAGCCATCCGCTTCAATGGTGAGTCCAACAAAGAAATCATTATCTTTACAGGCTGTGCATAAGTCATCTACATGAGTCACCCTGTACTGGGAGGGACAGACTCTGTGTCACCCTATGGTAGGAGGGACAGACTCCATGTCACATAGCTCCTCCTGTCTGTGTCACCCTGTGCTGGGAGGGACAGACTCCATGTCACATGGTTCCTCCTGTCTGTGTCACCCTGTGGTGGGAGGGACAGACTCCATGTCACATGGTTCCTCCTGTCTGTGTCACCCTGTGGTGGGGGGGACAGACTCCATGTCGCATAGCTCCCCCTGTCTGTGTCACCCTGTGGTGGGAGGGACAGACTCCATGTCGCATAGCTCCTCCTGTCTGTGTAACCCTGTGGTGGGAGAGACAGACTCCATGTCACATAGCTCCTCCTGTATGTGTCACCCTGTGCTGGGACGGACAGACTCCATGTCACATAGCTCTCCCTGTCTGTGTCACCCTGTGTATCAGAAATATTGAATTCATCTGTGTGTGTGCCGGTGACTTGTTGAGACCATTCCGAGATCACACTGCGCCATCCGTGTGATCACCATGAGCACCACCACCACCACCATTGAAAGGTTGCAGACCGTAAGGATTGCGGGTTGGGGGGGTTGGCAGACTCCATGTCACAAATCTCTATTCCTTGTTGTCTTGTCAGTGGATGGGAATTACTGTATGACGTGTGGCAGTGACAAGTCCCTGAAGCTGTGGAATCCACACAAGGGAACCATGCTGAAAACCTACAGTGGTCATGGGTATGAAGTACTGGATGCAGCGGGGTGAGTGTGTTCCTCCTCATTGACTTGCATGGTTTGGATTTTTCATGATTTCACTCAATAGTGACTTAGTATTCCAGGATTGTATATAGCATTACACAGCACTCCATGCCAGATCCCCGAGCCGCGCCAGATCCCTTAATCCTATACATTGATGGGTGGGATTAAGTTCATTTTTTTCCTACATTCCTCCTCCAGGTGGATAGATTAGCAGATTCCCATTCAGTGTATTCTATTTTTGTAATAGGAAAAAACTGAGACCTTCCACACTGGTAATGACTGACAGAAAGTGAAGGGAAAAACTTATTTTTCCTTTACTTGCAATTATTGTTTTTCCACTTCCTGGTCCTCTTGGGCATTAGTGATGTAATGTGCCCAAGCGTTGCATCCTGGGGAGGTTACATCAGAAGGGAAATCTCATGAGATCCCAGGGAAAGGCATTTTCCTCCCTTGAGATGATGGGCATGGTCACATGTTCTAGACACATGTGCCAGAGTTCCAGGAAGTAAAGGGAGATGGATTTATCTGCCCTTAGTAAAAATGGCCGCTGTGAGAAGAATGGGGAGGAAAAGAAAAATAAGGTATCCCGAGAATACAAAGCCGGCGATTATCTAGAAGTATCTGTTTGCAGATCGTCATCACTTGAACATTTCTAAAAGGTGTGTTTGTTGTCATTTCATAGATATAAGTAGAGTTCCTCTTTAACCAGTTGGGCTGCATACAGGAGGCTGGAGGATTACTTAAAGGACAGCTGCACTACAGGTGAAATTGTCCCTTACAGCTGAGACAGCCTAGCAGGCAGCATTTCTAAGGAAAGGTCAGAAGTAACCCGCGCATCTCTCGGCACAGGTTTCCTTGACATTTAAAACTCCGCTCTCAGCTCCGGTGGATTCTCAGGGTTTTGGATAGGTCTCGGGTTCACCATGAGAAGCTCACCTCTAATTCTAGGAATCTGCTACGATGCATATCTCAGGGGTTATATCACAGAAGCTGCTTTTCCTGGACTGCAAAGCCTTTAATCCCCTGGATTGGTCCGTCCTCTGTTACCTGGTGCCATGCACTTTGCTGGGACTGAAGCTCCCACACAATACTACAACACGAGAATGGCATTGCAGAATATGAACCAACACGGCACTTTATAGTGTCCCAGGATAAAGAAAATAAAATTTTTAACTAATGAGTGTAAGATGATTTCATGTCAGCTAACAGAGCTGCACGCTGAGGTGATTTTTAGTGAAAGGGGGTAAAGGTCCACTTTAACTACCTCCGGCCGTAGTAAAAAAACGGCCGGCCCGGAGCTCTCTAGATCTGAGCGGGCGTCAGATCTAGAGAGCACCAAGCTTGCTCCCGGGATGGACTGCAATGTCACGTCTAGTTTACTAATTTGTATTGTGATTGTAGTACATCCCAGGAGTGAGCTTGGAGCGGTGACTACTTTACAACACATACAGGGACCATGGGGAACAGGAGTAGTCACCCTCCAGAAGGAAGGACAGTGTCAGCACCAATTCAGAGATGATTGGAGGATCTGCAGCCGAGTGATACACAAATCAGATACATTGTAGTTAATAGTTAAGACACTTGAATGTATTTTTTAGGGTTTGACTCCTGAGTTGAGTATCATTTTGAAGTGAGGTATATCATAAGAGAAGTATGGGGGCTGCCATCACTTTCCTTCCTAGATGCCTGACTTCAGTGTGCTTCAGTCACAGCCAGAATGACAGCCAGAGAAGTAGTATTTTAAAAGGAGAGGCCAGCAATGGTAGACTCCATTAATCTCGCATGACTGTGTCCCTGTAAATCCAGGTGGATACATCTCTCTCTTTTTTTTATATCAGTTAATTTATTTATACAGCTTGTGTTAATAACTTAACCCATGCTTATATTTGCTTCCTTTCCCTGCACAGCAGAACACAGACTGTAAGAGGCATGCCTGGCAGTGCTTTCAGTCTAACACAGGGTGCTGGTAACGGGAGAGGAGAGCAGAGTGATTACTTTTTTCATGTGTAATGCCCCTTCATTGCCCAATCAGCAGTCTGGAATGAACCATTGTCTATTCATGAGCGTTCAATACACCGCTGTACCGCGTGATGTCAGTATGCTGTAGTATTTGGTAAAAAGCATTATGGGTTACTTCTACAGGTCATGTGACAATAGCCAGCTGTGCTCGTGCAGTTCAGATAAAACCGTGATCCTCTGGGATGTGGCACAGGGTCTTGTGGTCAGGAAGTTTCGTGGACATGCAGGGGTGAGCATTGTATAGTACTGTATATAGTATATATGTCTTCTCATATACACCTCATACATTTTACTGGGAGCCCCATGGAAGCTTTCTGGGAGAAAGTCATTTTGTAGGCCGTGTAGGTCGAGTTTTGGGCACTGCTAAGTGGTTTAGACCCTTTTTAAATGAATTCCCATTAATCGCTGAGGAAGGCACGCTCTGGTTGAACTCTCGCATAACGATGCAGCAAGCTGGAGGTTTGTATGTAGTCTGACATTTCCTGCGTGCTGCATCCTCCCTCCCCGGGGAGTTGTGGTCTGCAGATATAAACTTGTTATAAATTGGAGCAGTGCGTGTCCCTGTCACTGGGTCAGTGAAGTTGCCTCATGTGGAACGCAGCGGGCACATGCCTCACCTCCAACTTGCAGGAAAGTTGCTGGATTTGGGGGCTGCCATGGCAAAGGGCCCAGAGTTGGACTATAAAGCTGAAGTTTAATCTGCTTATATTAGGCCTTCCCTGGTTCCTCCTCTTGCACCTTAACAACATGCTAATGAAAGAAATAAAACCTTTCTGTTTTCATTTCATAGCTTATTTTAGACCCAGTGACATCATCACTGGGTCCATGTCCTCTCTGTGCAATGCAGGCAACTCATGGCTGCATTAGCCAATACTTACTCTACAGCGCCGGTTACTGTGACAGGCGGAGTGACACCAGATAACTTTGGATTGTTGTACATTTTGTTGCACAAAAAATAAGACCTAGTGTGTTTTTTGGGGGCAAAAAAAAATATAAGACAGTGTCTTATTTTCGGGGAAACACGGTAGTAGAGTTTCAGCGAGGAACACGGTGCCAAGTGCCAAAAAATAATCACATCGTCCTAGACTGCCATCTAGTGGCTGCACCTTCACTTTACACTGTGGCTGCCTCTGGGTGATCATTGGTGCTCTTTGTCCGGTGTTCTAGGTGTTGCTGGATGTGACTTCCTCTGTCCTGACCATTTCCTCTTCTCTTGTAGAAGGTAAACTGTGTGCAGTTCAATGAGGAATCTACAGTGATCATATCGGGTAATTGTGAACACTGATGAGTGACGTTTACTCTCCTCTATCCAGACATGCTGTTTATTTCCTGTCATGTCTTCACACAGTGCGTGTGTTCCTGTGTCCTTCCAGGCTCCATCGACTCTTCTATTAGATGCTGGGATTGCCGTTCTCGCAAACCAGAAGCTATTCAGATATTGGACGAAGCCAAAGATGGAATATCCAGTGTCAAGGTGTCTGATCACGAGATTCTTGCTGGGTGGGTGTTTTTTTTTCTTTCTGCTGTGACCCCATAGATGGACTCCGTCACATATCTCCTCCTGTCTGTGTCACCCTGTGGTAGGAGGGACAGACTCCATGTCACATAGCTCCTCCTGTCTGTGTCACCCTGTGGTGGGAGGGACAGACTCCATGTCACATAGCTCCCCCTGTCTGTGTCACCCTGTGGTGGGAAGGACAGACTCCATGTCACATGGTTCCTCCGGTCTGTGTCACCCTGTGGTGGGAGGACAGACTCCGTGTCACATAGCTCCCCCTGTCTGTGTCACCCTGTGGTGGGAGGACAGACTCCATGTCACATATCTCCCCTACCTGTGTCACCCTGTGGTGGGAGGGACAGACTCCATGTCACATAGCTCCCCCTGTCTGTGTCACCCTGTGGTGGGAGGACAGACTCCATGTCACATAGCTCCCCCTGTCTGTGTCACCCTGTGGTGGGAGGGACAGACTCCATGTCACATAGCTCCTCCTGTCTGTGTCACCATGTGGTGGGAGGGACAGAC